CTTATTGAACTGCCTGCATGCATCTCTATATGAAATCCAGGTTCGCATTCAGAACTTACTCCTACTTGACTAAAATGGTAAGGGAAAGAGTGCATGGTCTTCGCTATTCTAACTATTCGCTAAACTGACTACTGGTTTACCGATACCAAGTTCTGCTATCTGACTGCCAATATGAAGATTTGTGCTGGCAGTCCATAAACACTTGTCAGTATCCTTTCGTTGTACCTATATATCCAAGACAATCTTGAGAACTTGTTGATGTTGAAGTAAACGAGGAATTTTTTACTGTTCGCTTTCACTTTGTGGATAGGCTTGCAAAAACTATGCCTAAACCGGGACTATGTAATCGATTGTGACAGTAACTATTTTTTAGGTCCGCTGGATTGTCACTTGGATCATTTGACGTACCCACGTTTGCAAGCTGCAACCAACTCGTCAGTCGCTGCAGCAACTCTAACCACACAGGCCTCTACCGAAGGTCACACGGGCACAGAAGCAACAGTCGCGGCTACCACTAACGTTGCAACCGGTGTCTCTTTTGACTCCACTTCCTCTGCCTCCCTCTTCTCACCCTACTTCTCCCTCTCCACCACCACCACCACTCAGGCTGAACTAAGTGTACCCGCAGCTCAAGAAGTCGTGATGGCGTTCGAAGCACCTCGGCCAGCGCCACCACCGCCTGTCAACAGTGATGGTATTTCCAAATTCGACCATTGTTGGAGCCCTCTTTGACTGACATTTTTAGAGTTTGTCTATTAACTATGAGAGTAACTGCTCCAAAATCGGAATTGTCTCTTCTTCCATTATTATGCGCCAAAAGAAAATCGTAGCTAAGAATTATGACGTACGAGCATTCTGTTGGTGGATGCGTATTCAACCATCTGTGCTCTCTTACCATTTTTGAGTATGGTTTTACCTTCCAATGAATTTTCATCACCTAGCTGTTTGGCATATAGACTGCTTTTGTTGCGAAACTCACTTTGGGAGGAGATTGGAGTCCAAAAAGCTTATTAGATGTCAACCATCGCTACGGTTTCTAGTATCTTCGATGTCAGTCTGGTGTTGGACAGTTCTTATTACCAAGTGTTTGACTTTAGTCGATTTACTTACTTTTTCAGCCGTAGAATAATTCTCCACATACATTCGGAAGTATCTCAAAAGTACATGCACGTCATCATTCATTCCTTTCAGCCAATCCTAATCCACAGGAGGGTTCAGGTTCTCAGCCACAGCAGCAGCCAACAACATCAGCTACGGCGGCAACTGTGTCTGACTTGTCTATGGGAGCAGTTCCGGTCTCTGACACACCCCAGCCCGTTGCTGGACCCTCATCTGATCGCCATGCCAACCAGGTCGACTCTGGAATGCTTCGTCAACTTGTTCATTTCGCTGACGCCGGCATCGAAGATCTGGGCTCCTTCCTTGGCCTGGTAATCAACTTTGTCCCTCCTATCATAATTGGCCTATTGCTTGAAAACTCACATGCTATTGACATTTTTTGTGATAAAGGAGCGGGTAATCGAAATTATTGACACAGTTGAGCTAGCATCTTTCATTTAAATCAAACACACCTTTGCTGATCTTAATGAGAAATTGTGGTTTCCCACCCACCCAACTCCCTCATAGACTTCTAGTGATCCGACACCAGACAGATTGTTCGCCGTAGAACCGATTCTCTGGTGTCCCCACTTGGAGCAAGTTACATCTGCTAGTCATTGGCGTCCTGAGGTTGCGCACCCCTGTACACGATGTGAAAACCGCCACGAAAATTGGGTCTGCCTTACGTGCTATGAGGTGCGCTTCTGTTTTTACCAACGTTACCATTTCCTTTTTTTCTGAATTTGTTTTAATTGTTTCATGAGGTTTGATCTGTACTGAGTTCACTCTTCTGCTTAAGGTTTACTGTGGTCGTTATGCTCAAGGACACATGCTGGAACATCACAACACCACTCAGCATCCCATCGTCCTAAGTTTGGCCGACCTCTCCGCGTGGTGCTACGTTTGTAATAGTTACATTCACAACGAGGTAATTATTAACTCGTAGCTTGCAGTGGATGAGGAATGTTGTCTGATCACGAACTCATGATTTTACTAGTTGTGAATCCTCCTGTTCTTCATAGGTTTTATCCAACTTATCCCTTGCCATCATGCTGTGTGATTTCATGGTTTCAGTTGTGATAATCCTCTCAAGGAAGTTAATTCAACCGATTATTCTTATCATTTGGAGTCGTGTTGGCTATTGACGTGTTATTTTTTCCATTGCTCAATCTATCCTTTTAGGTTCTGCTAGAGGCCAAACAAGCACTTCATTTGGCCAAATTCGGAGTGCTTATGCCTACTTAATTTTCGTTTTCGCAACCACCGTCTAGTTTCTGAAATGCATTCCTAAGGCATACCTCATCCCCACTTTTAGTCCCATAATTTTTGTTGTGGCCTCTATCTCACAGTGCCAATGCATTGTCTAAGTGTACTTTTTGAATTATGAATAAAGGATTTTGAGCGGACTGTCTTCTT